AGTTAAAGATGGGACTGAAATACCTTTAGGTGGCCTCTCCTGAAAGAACCGTCGAAGGATGATTAAGGTCCTATCTCGAATCCAGCAATGAAGCCCTGCTTCTTGACACCTCTACGCTTGTTGACAATTTACAAGTATATTCAGAATTGTTGTCGTGTTACTAGACGTCGAACAGTAGACTGAACTCTAAGCTTGATCATGACTCTCGAGGTTCGAGCAGACGGCAGTCCAGATTTCGACACAAAAATCCACAGATGATGGACCATTTTATTGCATATTATGAGCGAATACCTGCACGGTCTAGCTGGCTGACCTCCTGTGGTTGCCAGTATGATTCCACTCGATACTCCCTATAAATCCACAACAAAACCATCCTAATCAACACATCGTCGTGGCCGCTCTCAGCGATGATTGCGCGGACGTTGTCGCCGTCGCCGTCGACGTTGTTGAGGTGCTGGCGTTGTTGACGAATAAGGAGATGTTTATTCAGTGGTCGTCTTCCGTTTACCGGCACGCAAGGTCGAGCGTCAAGCGGTGTCGTGCCTGGTAACAGGTGGTCCCAACGCCTCTTGATCCCCCTCCGTCTCTCTTTTTCGTGAGTCCCATCCATAAAATCTATCCTGTAGTATATGCTAACAGCACTCTTGCAGTGTCTTTTCTGTCTTTCAAGGCTCAAAAGTAGCCGGTCCATTCTTTGTCGACGCAGCGCGCGCATAACTTCCCTACGATCCTACTCTATTTCTCTCCAAACCAAGGCCCAGTGCTTTTGTATATTCTGCTCTGCACTCTTTTCCTGCCATATCTCTCGTCTTGTTGTGTCTGGAACCTTCACCATGAGACTTTCGATCGCTGCCGTCCTTGCCGCTATCGCGTTAGCCACTCCCACGCTCGCAGGCAACATTGAGGTACGCGACCTTTAGCAGTAAAAAAAGAATGTATGTGTTGACCATCTCGATAGGAACGCTCGCCCCATCATCGCAACAACCAACAAGTGCAGAACAATGGGCGCACCAAGACGATCCACGACACGATGACCACCACCGAGACACAATTCGTTACTGTCACTGTGAACGGACAGGGTGAACAAGCCGTCTGCACGGACGGTGCCGTCCTCACCACCACCGCTCAAGGTCAACAACAGGAGCACCAGTCGTCCCCCACTAGGACGCGAACTGCCAACGCTCAGCAGACCACGGCTGCTGCTCAAGATATCACCTCCATGGAGACATTGACGAGCACCAGGACCCTCACCACCACCATGGTCTACGTACGTCTCTCATTTCTTGGCTTTTTGATTGCTTGCTTATATATATTCAATGAATTAGACTACTCCGGAAGTTGTCACAGAGACCGCCCGTGATCAGACTGTCGTTCACACGGTGATTGTCACCCGTACCAAGACCCAACATGTCAAGGCTACCCAGACGATCACCAAAACCCACGTCAAGCATGTTACCGACCACGTGACCCGCACCGAAGTCATTGAGGCCACTCAGACTGCCACTGCTGCCGAGACCACTCGCA